TGCTCCTAGTAGTACGGCCAGGAGCCCCTAGTAGCGTTCTTGCTCCTCCATTTTGGAGCCACATCGGCTCGGTTTTGATTCAGCCTTCAACCATTCACCACCGATTGACATTTGGAGGCATGCACCACAGAGAAGAAGGAGGCTTGGCCGGCCTGGCCTTCTGGAAGTATTTTTAAGCTCCCAATTTTGCTGTGCATGTTGCTCTCAATTTTGCTTCGGACTTGGGTGCCACGGTGCCTCAGGAGGATCAGGAGCCTGAGAAGAAAGACTGGGGTCATGATTCGCAGGCAAGGCTCCGAAAGGGAAGAACCTTTGTTTGTCGCTGCAGTGATGATCAGACGAGTGATAACTATTTCGTGCCAATTCTCGGGTCATTAGTAAACATCAATAAACATCATAAAACATCCCTCAGGCATTTGGCAGCATTGAATTCAAATTCTCCAGGAGGCTCAGACGAATCGCTGGGAAGAGAGTCGCAGTGGACACAGGTCCGTGAACGCCATTGATGTGCAATACATTTATATAATCCTGCATCCAATTCCCGTTTCCACATGTCACATTTCACGACGCACTCATTTCTGATGTCTTTGGCTTGGAGTGAAATAGACATCCTGAAACCAGGCAAAACAACCGAAAGACCTGGCGCGATGGCGAAGGCAGATCCTTGTTTCAGATCGCTGTCATTAGATGGGCGTTGTTACTACAAGCCTCTCAGAAGTCTTGGCTCAAATCTCAAGTAGTGGTGGTCGGTATTGCCAAAACGGTCTTTGGTCATATATGTCTTATTATTTCTTTTGGTTTTATGCTAGGAGTTCTGAGGGGATATGGCCAGACTTGCTTGCTTTGGGCGAGAGACGGTCTCTAAGAGTGACTACTCTTACAGATCTGAATACACTTGTTCTCGAGGATGCTCTTTGGATGGAATGCACCTGAAAGAACTTTAACGTTCATAGTAGGATACAAATGTATGACCAGTGCCCCAAAGAGGGAACGACGGCAGTTCACGACTTGGCCAAAGCGAAGGCAGAGAGACGATCAAGCTCAAATCATGGCTGGTCGCACTTTAACCTCAGACATGGTCCATTTGTTTTGGGAGAATTAGTGCCGACAAAGTGTTTGGACCCCTGCGCAAGTTCCATGCATCACTTCTCACTGACCTGCAATTCAAGAGCTTTCATATAGTCTATATACTTTTTCTTACCTTACTTAACTGCTCAAGACCCACCTTAACTGTCAGAAGCCACCTGGAGAATCTGGAGAACTTTGTGTTCACAGTTGAGGGTAAACGGTACAAGACACGTCTTGCCGTTTCTGCGCTGCTGGAATAGCTTTTTTTGCGAGCAACATGTGACATCCTAACTTTAACTATGTGAGTCATAGGTGTGGATATCCGAACCCCCCACTTCAATGAATCACACAGATCATTTAATTAATATATGCATATTCCTTTGTCACCGTTGGTCATTCCACAATCTCGTCACTGGATGTGTCATTTCTTGCCTCTGTGTTCGATGGGTGGTAGATTCTACACATGTTCTTTACAATGTTTTAAGTTCTACAAGGCTTCACGACAAACGAAAGTTGCTGCAACGCTTTGAGCTTTCGACTTTAGACGGTTCTACAGAAAGATTTTCAGACCTCAACTTTTACACAGATTAGCTTGTACAACGTTCGAATTTATCATGTTTTTTCTCGGAGATATAGATAGATACATATATAGAAGGTGCTGCTGTGTTTTAAGTTTTACAAAGCCTGTTCAACGTCTTTACAACGTTCTACAGAGTGTTCAATTGTATACAAAGTCTTTGCAAAGTACCAAACCTGTTACAAAGTTGGATGACTCCAAGTTTTTTCACAGTTTGCACAGTTTTAGAAAAGTTATATAGATCGGTTTGAACACAGTTGAAAAACTGTGTCAACTCTTTTACACAGTGTTCGAATGCTAAACAGAGTGTTTACCAACCTGTCCACACTACAAAATGCTTGGTGAAGCACATAATAGATACAAAAGAGTCTTGATGAACAGCACTTATTTTGAGTAAAACAGGTGCAACAGTGCAACATTTGTTATTCCCCAATAATACCCAGTTATACAATTGCTTTACAAAGTCTTAACAAGTTTTCGATTCACACAGTAGTTTTTTGCAAGCTTTTTCGACTTCACAGAATGGTTTTATTTTGTGGTATTAAAGCAGGGGGGTGCAGAGCACAGTGGAGACTGCACCCAACGAAGCTATCCACCTGCTGGAAGCAGAGCCTGATCTGCTTCCAGCAGGTGGATAGCTTCGTTGGGATCAAGTCTGTGTACCTGCTAATTAGCTTTTGACTTGACGCTACCTCCTGGGTCCCGTTTGAATTTAGAACAACTTTGTCCATTCCATCCAGACACGCGCTCGTCGTTCAAGTCTTTTGATTGGTCTTGATGTTTTGAAACATGGAACTTGGATGAACTTGGATGAACTAGTAACAAGAAGCTACTAGTAACAAAGGGCATCGCTACTAGGAGCAAGGACGCTACTAGTGGCTCCTGGCCTTACTACCAGTAACAAGAAGCTACTAGTAGCTATTTAAGCAGCTATTTGCTAGTTTGTACCCCTTGGCACTTAGGTTTTTGTTCATACCGAGGTTTCCAGGGCTGGGTGCAATCAGACCGTACGTGCTTCATAAGGGTGAGAAGACGTTTCTTCATGGTTGCTGGCTGTGGATGTGTTCGGCAAGTGTTTTAAGCCCCCCTTTCAAACTCTCCAAAACACTTATATAATCTCTCGCAAACAACATTGGTGCAAAAGCACTTCTTGCAAGTTAGACCGCAACTCGAGAATCAAACTATAGATATGATATTATATATATATATTTGCATACTATGCCCATCATCAAGAAATTGATGTTTTGGTAAAGAAATCGTCAAAGAAGGCCAGCATCACTGGGATGACCATCGCAAGGATGAAGGCAGGGCCGTGAAGGTTCAATGAATTGGTAGACAGACAACCACACAATTAATTCACTTTCTGGGAAACAGACACAAAACATTCCTTGCGGTACTGGGGGCAAGTCCATTTGCGACAATGCTAAACTGAACGGACCATTGAACTGTGTTGAGTCCTTTCATCGTGGAGAATCTTTAAACTCCAGTGCAAGCAACATCGGGTCTTGGGTCACCTGTGAGGTTCGGGAGCCTGGGACAACTGGGACTATGGCTGGAAGGGCAAGGGCCGCAACACTCGCCGAGCACAGAGACAGGCGCCTGCTGCGGCAGGGCAGTTTGGGCGGAATGGTTCAAGATCCAAGCTGACTAATCTGAGTGGGAGGTGGATTCGATTTGTTCTAGTGATTCTAGTTTTGACTCTGGGGCAGAGAAGGACAGGGTTTGTTCTCTTTTCTTTCTTCCTTCCTGACATTTGAGCATTTTTGCTCAACGACTTGTTGAACTCCCAGTGACATGTAGAATGACAGGCGGGCTATGACACATGGACTGACCGCGAATGGCCCTGATCTCACAAGGGTCGGAATGCAGAATGCTGTGTCAGGCCAGTAGTCACAGTGGTCTTGCATGCGATTGCATTGGTCCAAATTGTACGATGACGGATAAAAACACTTAGGCGCTCGTGGTCTCACTACAAAGAGGAGCCTGAATCTTCACCTACACAGGAGCTATATGATGTTTAAGTTTGCATTCTTCCACATGGTGGAATCGAAAGCAAAGGAAGCAGAACTCAAAATGTCATGAATTTGAGTGGTTATGTGGGTTCATTCAGAAATTTGTTTGGCATAGCTCGGCTCTACGCATGATATTGTATGATAGAAGCTGATTTCCAACCACATGACATACTCATACTTTCCCATGGAACCAACGGTGCATGGTCGTCCTAGTGCTTGCTCCCAAATAGCAGAGAATGGATCCCGTGCAAAAGTGAGGAGGAAGCCCCGCGTGGAGAGGAGGAGCCTGCTGAAGGCAGGAGATTGTTTTGAATCTGCTGACTCAGGGTCAAAGTGATATATAATATCAACAAAGCAATATACTGTATAAGGGAACCGTTCTTTTTTTTGAGGGTTAACTTCTGCAAATTCTATAGAACTATTCATTCACCATCCACAGGCTTTGACACTGTTGAGCCTGCCCTACACAATTCAGACTGGTTTGTGAAGGAGGTGTTGCCTCAGATTTGTTGCTGTGATCTAGGCAGCACGACTGCCAGCAGCAGCTGCGCCCTCGAGAGTGGAACTGCAAAGATTGACCAATTATCAAGCTTGCACACATGATCAACATTCACCGGAAACAGCTGGAATGCTGATCTAATGAGTTTCTCAAGTGACCCCTCCGTTGATGCTGCTGTACCGCTTTCTTTTTTACAATGGTTTGATGCTCCAGCCTTCATAGTACTTTCGCAATTTTGGAAGCCAGCATTACTTCAGAAAACATGTGTGTAAGGCTCTGAGAACCTGGGTGCATCGCAAGGGGATTCAGGCGCTAGAAAAGAACCTGATCGGTGTATGATATTTTTTTCCGTGAAGTCCTTGAGTTGTTCTATCGGTCTGTTGATTTGGTTTGATATAGTTTGTAGAGAGTTCCAGGCTACACCACAGTGATGCTTCGCAACATTCCCAACAAGTACACCCGGGAAATGCTGGTGAAGCAGCTGAACCAGGCCACAGCGACGCAAGAAGCACAGCTCCAGTGCACCAGAAACACGGTTCCGTGACGAACCAGATACACTTAGGTAGTAACAGGTGCCACGCTAGTAGTAACAAGTGCCACGCTAGTAGTAACAAGTGCCACGCTAGTAGTAACAGGTGCCACGCTAGTAGTAACAAGTGCCACGCTAGTAGTAACAATTAGAATTAAACTAAATTTAAAGAGCAAGGGCATCGCAATTAGGGGCTCCTGGCATCGCTACTAGGAGCAAGGACGCTACTAGGGGCTCCTGGCCTTACTACTAGGAGCAAGAAGCTACTAGTGAAACACACAGAAATGGATGACGATAACTGAGCAGGATTGAGTGCCACCCCTTGCTTGGTCCTTTTGGCGCTTGCTGTTTTGCCTGCAGGATTTCAAGGGCCGCTTCGACTTTGTCTACTTGCCCATCGATTTCAAAAACAAGTCTTGCTTGCAAAGTTGTTGCAAAGACATGTCACAACAACTGTTGTAAAAGCTTTATTCATCTTTATTCCTTCATGCATCCTGGATGTGCTGAATGATTCATACTCCTTTTTTGTCTCTGCTGTACCCAATGCCGGGAACTCTGGGAATGATGGCTCTATTGAATCCGTTAGCAGCTCGATGAGAGGGCCATGATCTGTTTACATGCGTCAGTTTTGAGACTTTGAACTGTGTGCGCATCAGTGTATATACATTTGCCAGCGATTGCGCATGGTTGGCCAGATGCAATGTTGGATATGGCTTCGTGAACTTCCGCACTTCAGCCTCATGTGACGAGTTCATCGCCAAGCCACAAGCCAAGTATTGCGCGAGATCTGAAGGATGCCAGGATGTCATCGGAACGAAGAGTTGAGTAGATGCCGTGTGATGCTAGCTGGGTTCAATTAGGTTCAATGTACTCAATTAGGTTCAATGCATGTTTTATTCTGCGTGGCCCTAACCAGACCATGCTTGACACTGCTTCAGGTATGACGGAGTGGATGTGCGCAAGTGTCTTCCTGGGTCCAACTCCCTGTTAATGCAGCTGAGCGCGTTTGTAAGCTCGATGCAAGTGGACAGCCAGGCTCAACTCCAAAAAGATTGCTGGCGTCACGCCAGCTCGGGTGCAAGGCTTGGAGGAGCTTTGGAGCACTGCCGGAAAGAGTCAACAACATGTCGGGGCAGACATGTGAAGCATGATGAAGCCTGTTTTTGGATGCCAATTCGGACTCCAGGAGAATGTGCGCCGATTGCGGACAGGCCAAATATCTGGGTGGATGGCTTGAAATGATCTCATTTCTGCAACAAACTGTGTTGGCCGACTCCGATTTGGTTGGAGGACGATGACGGCACCATTTCTCCTTAAGATGCAATTTCTCATGACTTGATGGTCAAAGCAATGCAATTAGTTGAGTTGATGGTCAAAGTATACTGTGCGGGAGAAACACCCATGGAGTCGTGCAAGACTTTTGTCACACTGTATGGCACTGGCAATGTACCAAGCTTGAAATGACTGCCAGTGAGTGGGACAAAAATCAGCCAATGATGTCGAGTTGCAGGTCCTGTCATGAACGAACTCGTGAATCATCCTGATTGGATGCCTCTACTGTTGGACGACAAGGGAGAGGCACATGCAACACCGGTGAAACTGAACGGTTGCAAAAAGGATTGGTTGAAAAGAAAGGAAGGGAACACAGCACAACACAGAGGTCTTCAGGTAAGGAAGAAAAAGAGAAGAAAGAAAAGCATAACAAGAAAAGGAACAACAAGGAAGAAAGAAAAGGGGAAGAGGTCCACAACTATTTGAGGTTTGGCAGACAATGTGAGCTTTTGGCCTGGTCCGACTATTAAGCATTTGCCCAATTTCAATAGTAACATGTAGCCATGAATTGAATATCATCACTACCAGTCTGTCGGTGCAGTGGCATTTGAGGGCGAATCGCAGGCCATGCCATTTCCAATGCCTGATCATCCAGCTCCAGCAGCTCAGCTATTGCATTGCGAGCAAGAACAGGGTGATCATGACACCACAAAAAGTCTGTGTCATGTTGTTGTACCCCACCCAGTTTGATTCAGCCATATAATATTTTGTACCAAAACTGTAGGGGCATGTCTCCGAAGGACAATGAAGACGTCACTGAGGGGCTATCCAAATCTAGTTGGGGAAAGCCACAAACCATAAGCAGGTTCGGAATGTATTCTTATTTACTTCAATACAAACGAAGGACGAATGGAAGAAAGAACTGAATAAAAAAGAAAGGTCTAAGAAACGGAACAATAAACAAAAGAACAACATAGGAAAACAAAAGGGTAGCAAGAAGCTACTGGTAACAAGGGCATCGCTACTAGTAACAAGGGCATTACTACTAGTAGCATGTCTCTCCCCACAGTGACTGGTTGCTCGAATACTCCTCGATGTACCAAGGCTCCAAAGCTCAAGAGGCGTGCACGTGAGGAGCACTCAGGCGAAACTCGCAAACGAGACTCATTTGGAAGACTTTGCAACAAAATGTCTCACCAGTTTCTCAACAGTCTCAATTATTGTTGCATCATATTCTAGAAGCGCTCTAAATGAAGATGAACTTTGCCGCTCAATTCACATCTATTCACAGTGCTTGCCGCTCATCCAAAGTGTCAGAGCTAACTTTGCGACCATCCTTCGCTGAAATGTTCTCTCCGACCCTCTGACCTTTGCTTCGTGGACCTGATTTGCCTGCCTTCCAGGTGGGCGAGGGTGGTGAACTATGCAGGAGGAAACCTGGAGGTTCACGTGATGGAGACCTCCACTTAGCACAATGTGTTTCTGTGAAAGCACTTTTCGGGTGAGTCCTTGCCAGATGTTGAAAGTTTGCAACTTGCAGACTGCCTTTGAGGTGGAGTGGATGCAACATCGTTTTTTGCAGGTGTTTCCAGCATACAGCTAGAGACAAAGCAGGAAAATTTTGTGTCCCTACCGCTTCAAGCAAAAGTCAAGAAGCCTTGTCGAACCTTCAGTTCGGATTTATGGCACCCGTTATTTCCTTGCACGAAACGACTTATAATCATAGACTCATTTTCAGGTGAGGACACGGGACATTCTTGCTGTCTATATGCTGGAGCTTACCGTAATGTGGGGATTGCATGGGATTACTGCGGTGTCTCAAGCATTGCTAGCACCAGCTCAAGAAAAGATGAAGAAAGAACAGTTAAAGAATGGCCTTCAAGGACAGGAATTCTCAACTTGGAAGTACAAGATGTTTCCTTGAGCTGGTTTGCAATCCTTATCCCCGAGAGCCGAGGCTTGCACTTCGCATACATAGCAGCCGCTAAGTTTTCAGGCATGAAATGTAAAGACCAATCACACCCACTTCACCAACAAAGTGAAAGAAAGGATAGAACCGAAAGAGCTTACATAGCCAATATGCTTCCTGTGCACAGCTTCAGCTCATGTGAACGACTTGGGGCAAGGCGGATGAGTCACCATAATTCTTCGATCTAAGAGAGAGCCTGACAATTCTCGGGCTATTCGGCACAGAGCTGATGAGTGGGCCTTTTTGGGACTTACCCTCTGTAGGCAGCTTTTTTAGAGCATAGCTTAGACTCAAAACAACGCTACAGTACTCGTGTACTGACCACGATGTAACTCTCCATGGATTTCCTGTTGCAACCGCAAATCAGGAAATGACAATTGGATTATCTGGAAATTGATTGTTCGAAGTTGTGAGATCTTGGTTCTGCACCCAGCCAATGACTGACAAAAAGCGACATTCTTTTGGGCGTTCGCTTTGCTCCTTTACCCTGCAAGAGTACTCAATTGACCCAGAGAATGATGCTTCCAGAAGCTCTCACGTTGGCAATGGAAACCCAAATCAAGGAAGAGTGCGCTCATCCTTCAGTACCCACGTCTTCACCGGAAATCTCTCCAAGGAGAGAAGCGTAGCAGACGCTTTTGAATTCGATCCTGTGGCATGGATGCCTTTTCAAGAAAAGAATCCAATGGCTGGCGTTGGAATGACAGTCGAATATATAGAGATGATACAGGCCCATACAGGCCCTTGCCACAGGATGTAGCATGGCGTCACTCAACGCGCATTTTCCTACCTGCAGCTCAGCACTACAACAGCTTCAACTTGAGGTAGTGAGGTCACAATTTTTTGCACGTGACTTTCCAAGACAACATAGGAGAACTGAGAGCGTTCTCAAACTCCATCGTGGACAAGATCAAATCGAATTCAACAAAAGCGTTTGCATCTTCTGTAGACCGCGCCACGTGGTGCTTTGATTCAAGAGGGTGGCTTAAGATGAACCCCGTGCCACCCTCTTTTGTGCTTTTTGTTTTTTTTTGGTGCCTCACCCATCAGGTTGAAGTGGGTGCTGACTGTGAACTGGTGCCTGCTTGCTAAAAGCACGTTGTGCAAGTCATGAACGGCTTTCCCAAAAGATGCGGCATCGGCTGGCTTGTCCTTCTGACTAGCACAAGGTGCACAGCTGGCGGCAGGCAAAGTAGTTGTGAAACCGTGGTCAGGTAGGGCGAGGTCACAGAAGACAAGGGAGTTGGGAACCACTTGATTTGTGTTGACTTTTTTGTTTAAACGTGTCTTGTTGATTCTCATTAGACTCGTTGGATTTGTTTTATTGCCGACACAGTATGCCCCATTCCCGCTCTACAACGACCTGACCCCTGCAGAGTCAGCAGCTCTTGGACTTGGCGAGAGTACCAAGTGAGACCACGGTGCGGGCAGCAGAGGCGCTTTGGCATATTTTGCGTTCGCGCTTTGCTGGGACAGCCGCGGAGAGCGAGAGACCAAGAATCTCACGCTTCGTAGGTGCGTAGGTTCGGCCAGGTGCTCAAAGATTGACGGTTCGGAAGGTTCTTTGCGACGAACTTAGAGATTTGAAGTGCTCTTGGCACAAGAATTTGAGCTCTGCATGGAGGACAGATGGAAGCCCACCCATTTTTGTTGGCTTCACATGGCAGAGTCCGTTCCAATCTCGTAGATTCTCGCATGCATTCCAGTGGCTTGGAGTCTTGGAGTGATGTGGGTGCCGTTGGGAGTCTCGTTCATGGAGGACATCTCAGGAGTCTGTTCGATGTGGGACTTTGAACAGCACCAAATCGCACTTGCACCAGCATCAAGAACTATTCTTGAATAAGTCTGGCGAGTTGCATATTGCTGCCATTTAGTGGCGGAGAGTGACGGAGAGTGAGGCCACGACATCCTTTAGATTTGACATCATGTGTGCAGATTTTGAGTTTGTTGCGGACTCTAAAGGCCGCTAAGATTGCAGTCTTCTGACAGTTCAAAGAATGGGTACTTGGCTTGCTTTGTGTATAATTACTGGGGTTTGTTGAACCTTTTGAACCAGGACTGCCTCGGACAGCTTTCCACTTATATAAATGTGCCAAATGGATCCAAATGGTGTAGTTTTGCCGTGGTTCTCCGCTGTGCAAGCCATAGCACTGCTCAGAAGCAGTTCAGTGAGGTGAACGGCAACCTGACCAGCATGGTGGCAAGATGTGGCAAGGTAGATAGATCTACTTTGGTCGACCATTCACCTGTGGCAGCACATGTTTTGGCAGCTTGTTTGGGGCTCTGCAGCATGTCAATGTCAAGATCAGCAAATTGAACCTTGACCAAGCCAAGATAATGATCAATCAAGTGATCGAAGCAAAGAGAAACAACCAGGCCAAGATAATGACCAGTCAAATGATCCAAGAAAAGAGAAAGAACCAAGCCAAGATAATGACCAGTCAAGTGACCGAAGAAAAGAGAAAGAACCAAGGCAAGATAATGACCAGTCAAGTGATCGATTAAAAGAGAAAGAACCAAACCAAGATAATGACCAGTCAAGTGATCGAAGAAAATAGAAACAACCAAGCCAAGATAATGACCAGTCAAGTGACCGAAGAAAAGGCAAAGAACCAAGCCAAGATAATGACCAGTCATGTGATCGAAGAAAAGAGAAACAACCAAGCCAAGATAATGATCAGTCAAGTGATCGAAAAGAGAACGCAGGGAGTGGAGAAAGAAGGCAGGAAGGAAGTCAAGGAAAAGAGAGAGGGAGAGAGATATAGAAAAGCTCCCTCCTAGTAGCGTCCTTGCCCTATAGAAAAGGAGTCTTCCATAGTCTTCCACCAAATCGACCTTGACAATGCTTGCGCTGTGGTCATCTCCTGCCACGGTTGGAGCTCAGAAGCTGAGAACGATGCTCGATGGCGCTCGAAAAGCGAAGGAGTTCAAACGGTAGAGGCTCAGAAGGAGCTTCGCCAGTGCTTCGCCTCCTTCTTCAAAAGCTTTGCAAGGCTTTGCATTATGCCAGTCGTGCTTGGCCGATGCTCTATATTTTTGACATTCTTTGACCCCAAAGAGGACTGACGTCTCCTTAGCAACTCTCCTCCCAATGTCTCTAGGTTTGAATAGGACTTCTGACCCCAAACTGTTCAATTTCGCACTTCACATAGTTTGGCATTGATGTGTACAACCTACGTTTAAAATCGTTTTGCTTCTATACTGTACCCTTTGACCCACATAGCCTGTCAGATAGCAAAGACCTACTGTAGCTGGGGAATCGCCAAGACAAATGGCACAGCTGCAATCTCCTACAGCAACGGAGGTGCAGCCGCGTTTGTGAAGCAGCGATGTCTCTTCAATCGAGTTGTCATGCTCGCGAACATCATATCCAGAATCATTTCAGAGATTGCTCTGTAGCAATCATTATTTAATGTGCATGAGCACATCCCGGCGCAAGTCTGCAGCAGAAGGCAGGAAAGTAGCATCAGGCTCAGGCTATTGCTGAACCTGATTTCTTGGACCAATGCGCAACCATTTTGTGATCCTAGGAACCGGATGGAACCGGGAAACACCACAGATTGCAATTCTCTCATCGTGAGTCAGTCTGATGTTTGTGTGTGCACTGTTGAGAGGAGATGAATGCTCAAGCGATTTTGAAGAGATTTTAAAGAGGCCTGAATTAGACATGTCAACAAATGAAACCACGGGTCTGACCTCATGGCATTGCTATCTCAAACAACTTTAATACGTGTGTTCAGTTCAGTGATGGTTTGATTTGTCGTTTTCTAATTGATATTTCCTTTGCACAACCGCATCAACAAGTGGACCCATGTTGTCCTTTGATGCCGTACAACTTGACAGCATGTCAATTGCACATCCATCCTACCTGGTAGCACCCCTACCTGGCCAGCTGCTAGCAGATGCAGAAAAGCCAGCTAGTCACTAGTCATCACTAGTCATAGAGTCGGGACCCCAACAGTAGGGGACGCTTGGACCCTTTCCAAACTGGGCTTGCAACATGTGCTTTGTCACGGCTGTTGAGTATTGTGTGGTTACACAGCTGCAACTGCAACATATAATATGTTTCTATTTATTGATATTTTGCAACCAGGCTTTGGTCCATGTTGAATCTTGGCTGTTTTATACTGCTTTCACTGCATCTTTTCCACTTCCGTGTTTGCTGGAGTGTAAGAAATGAAAGCTTGCTGTATGAAGTCTATATATAAAGCAGAACGCGATTAAGCCAAACCACCAAAACATCGCCCCAGCTGATTAATAGACTATGTACTTGACAGCAAGCTGATCACAGAGTACCTTATTTCGACACCTGGAATGCTGGCAGCGAGCTTGATGATGAGCTTGGCCTGGCAAACGACTACATATGTCACCGCTACTCCGCTACTCTGCTAGATTCATTTGGTTCGTGTTCTGTACCTGAGCCGAATTCACAGTGGACTGACTGTTTGACCCCCAAGTTCAATTGGCAGGACATTGAACCTCCAAAAGAATTGATTGCCCGGTCAGCGTTGCGATAGCTCAAGCTCGGTGGTTGCTTGGTGATTGTTCATGGGAGGGCTTTCTTCCAGCATTCCACAGTAAACGAGATGCCGTCTAGACGGAAAAAGCTGCGCGAAGACCCGTGGCAAGCAACAGCTGCAAGACATGAAGCACACCGTCCACTGTCCCTTGAGTTTCAGCTCAAGTACATTTGCCGCACTTGTGTTCCGAGACCTGGCAGCAGCCCAAGTGCCTGCAGATTGGACGGGATTTTTGAGAGTATGTCCACCCTCACTGCTCTCTCATGGTCTACCTGTCCTGCTACTATGTTTTCTCTCATTTTTGCTCAATTGGTATTGGGGGTTGAATGCAAATGATTCTTGCACGTCCAAACTGCCTACAGTCTACAGGCACAAGCTAGCAGCTACCGCTGTCGCTCAGGGTGAAAGTCTGACAGATCATTGTTGCTACCCTGGCATACCCTGGCAATAGAACAGTCTTGGCGAATGTGCAGATGTGCATTGGACATGCACTTGGCTAGGGTTGGTTACTCCATGTTTTGTGAGGTGCGCACTGAATGCATTGGAGACTAGCTCCGTAATGCTTTTGCATGTGGAAGTTGTGGAAGCTTTGTGCAGTCTTCCGAGTCTTCAGTAAATGTATTTTGCATTCTGAAGGCCAAGATGTTCACCGTTCTGAGCATTGCTGTTTCAATTGCGTGGACCACAGTGGAGGACTGTCGAGGTGTGAAAGCCTTTGGTCTGGATCATGTCAATGAAAAATCTACACACGACGTCCTCTAGCTCCTTTGCATAAAGCTCAAAGAAAATACACTTCTGGATTCAAGGCTACCCTCTTTTGGGAATTGCAGGCACCTCCATACAACATATACTCTGATTATTTTGCTTCGAGCTTAACACACCTTTTCAGCGAGGTCCTGCTCTTCTTGCTGTTCCGCGCGGTGCAACGGCCAAAGGTACAGAAGGCTTGGATTTGGATGATAGGGTTCAATTATGTTAGCCTTATGAAAGTCAGTGTTGACAGTGCTTGTAAAGGCCAAGTAAGACTCCTCTTGCGAAGGCTCAGGTCAAAAGCAGCATGCAGCGCTTGAAAACAGAGGACTGACCACGTGAGACAACGGTGTGTCAATCGGCTTGTCGAAGTTTAACTTGGCTCGTCGACAGAGAAAACTGCCACTCTTTGGCTGAAGGACTGCGCAAGCGCGCTTGAGCTAGGGACAGCCACCAACAGCATGGCAAACAAGTTCAGGAGCTTTGGACCGATATTGGACGGATGGAAAGACGATTGTAGAATTCAGGCTGACAAAACTTGCAGGAAAGGCCGAAGGCAGAAACAAACCAAACCTGTCCACGTTAGAGACTTTTGCAGGATGGACTACTGGGCAGTTCCTTTGCGGCAGCTCTCAGCACCAGCTCTCAGCATCTTTCGAGACTCGAGACGCGACGCTTCAGCGAAAAGCTGTCATTCTTGTGAAAGAAAGGCTTTCAGCTCGTCATCCAAGGCTTTCTCGCAAAGGTCTGTGACGGAAGGATCTGTAGTCTGAAGGCCGCAGTTTGAGTGGATAGGCAAAGATGGGAGTCACAGAAGCTCCGAAATTCATTCAGGAAAGTCAAGATCCACAAAAATGCAGTCTTTCCGACAGCATCGTCGGTTATCATGGCTAACCGCTGGCAGGTTCACTTGGGCAAATGACAAGCGGATGTATTCGGGCAAGTCTTCCACAGCCGCTCATGCTTCACCTGTTGGTCGAGGGTTTCTGAGCTGATTTTCGTTGCCCCTCACAAGACAAGGGGACTTAGCCTAAGGCCAGATTGTGTTACTGTTGCAATGGCCCTTCCTTCGATTACTGTACAGCTTCAAGGGGCAAGCACAGTTTTCAGTGCCTTCCAGTGGCACTCCTGGATTAGTTGGCATGAGATGCCAAGAGCGGCCTGAAAGGTATCAGCACTGAGTTGAAAGACCCGCAGCAGATTGTCAATATGTGTAGGTCGTGTAGGTCTTCATGAAAAAAACTGTCTTACTTGATGCCTGATGTTTCTTTGGATCGACCTGCAGCCATTTTTGCTTGAAGCCTCCAGGATGTCAGTGCTGGGATGTGGCTTTGCACGCGTTTGGTTAGAAGTTGTAAAGAATCAATGGGGGAGCTTCCTTGAAGAAACGTGAGCTATCCGGCGTCCATATGTAGTAGCTTACTTGCAGGTAGTAGCTACCTAGCTTCTACTAGCTACCTCTAGCTACTACCTACCTCTACTATCGGCCTACCCCGCCCTTAAATACATAAATCAATGTGTGTTGCATTTTGAGGATCCAGTATTCGGGCAGTGCGCCAACAGGGCCGACAGCAGCCCTGCTGGGCCTGGCATTGCTACCGCTGCTGGTGCTGGTCAGTGGCCTCAGAGATGGCCTGTTGTTTCGTTTGTATGAAAAGTGCATTCGTGAGGACTCCTAGTAGACAGCAATGTGACAACCCTTTACCATGTTTATCCGTGTTTCATGTTTTTCTGTTTGTAGATTTAAGGAGTTGGCCTTCTACGCCATCCTTTCTCTTGCACTGCTCCTGTATTTCGCGTATCCTGGTCACAGAGAGAAGATCAGCCAGAAAGCGCCTGCTGTGCCCTGGCCTTCAGACAAAGCTTTTCTTGAACAGAGCAGGAAAGAAATATGTAGAGCTCAGGATGGCAGCTCTGCTCAGCCTCCGGTCCAGCTAGCAACGGTTGCAGTCTTCCCACTTGTGTCAGTGACTCTTTGTAATAACGGTTAATAACGGCATAACATGGAAACCGTTTGTTCCTGCAGTGTTTGTTGCACTGGCTCCCATTAGTACACACTGCTATGGATGGGCCCATCCACACAGGTAGCAGCTACCGTGGCCTCAGATATCTAGTGTAGGCTGTAGGTGTGTGGCTCTTGTGGACGATGCAAAGCAAATGAGTTGCTTCTCTAGGCCAATGAGACCTTGGACCGCCTGCGCGCTGCACGGCAAAGCGGTGATCCGTCGCGCTTGAGCAAGCTGCTGCAGGAGGACTGGAACCCTCAGCTAAATTTGAACAAAACCTGCCACCCCGGACTTCTACTTGCCAGAACGTTGATTTACCAGGGTAGTCCTGGGTATGGCTCGAGACATTGGACTTAGATTTTGTAGATAAAACTATAAAACTGCTAGCTTCAGCAGGTTGACAATTCTTGTGCAACGCAGCCAAGCAAATTAGAAATCACCTACTGCGCACAGCCAAAAACATTATTTCTTAGGAATGCACTTTGTGGGGTTGGGGTAGTTGAAATTACTTCTGTGGGAGAGCTTTGGATGCTGAAGATGATTGCTGGCATCATGAGCGTCATAAAGGTGGAGGGTTGGTAGTATGAGGACAGTTGGGGAGGCTTTGAGGAGGATGGTTGTTTTGCGGCTCATGGCAGAAGGGAGGTGCATTTCAGGCTACCACGACCCACTTCAAATCAACATTGGCATGCTAAGAGCACCCAAAAAAATTAGATCCCATCAACCATTTATGTTCTCCTGGTGCCCTGGCCACGTGGCTGACAGTTCAGGAATTGTACACATTATTACAAACTACATCAAACTACATCAAAGTGTATTCCGGATGTGCATTTGCTCTATGGATATCATGCTACCGGACGCGCCAAAGATTGCTGCGTAGTGGATGGGTGGTGTCCCAAGGTTAAGCTAACAGCCAGCGCATAGAGGTGTAGAGGCTTTGCTGTTTCTATTCTTTCCGGCTTATTCATGTTACGGTTGTAGGTGTCCTCCTGATTTTGCCTTTGCAGAGTTCTATTATCAAGGTCTTGTGTTGTTCGCATTGCAGTGTGTCAATATGTCTCAATACCTGTTGCGTATGCTGCTAATTAGTGCACATATTGCTCATGTATTGAAACAAGGGTAGTACAGCTAGCGTTCTTCGCTCTCGCAAGTAGTGCAAGCATTCCAGACAAAAGTCCTTCGATATGTTTTTAGACTATCGTTACTGACAATATTTTTGTTCCCACTGCATCACTGCATTCGAGAAACCTTAGGTTCGACTCCCTCTTTGGGGTTTGTGGCTTTGCGTGATCTTCACCGCTCCGGCAGGTCCTCACGCCTGACCTCGCAGGCGCTCTTGGGGACGAGGCTCTCGGTGATGGAGCAGAAGAGCTGGTGGACGAGGCGGGTGCAACGGTGCAATAACAAGCAAGACAAAAGATGAAATAATACTTGCTGATAGCGCTCCAAAATAATGGTGCCGATACCAACGTGAAAGGATCACGAATACTGACATGGAGCTGCAGTCAACCTGTGTCAAGAGTGTCAACGTGGTTCGACCACGTCAGGTTCAGTTTAGATGAGATCTGTGTGCTGGTGCTGTTTTCAAGCTGGGAGTCAGGTCTGTGACACGCTCCAAGCCTGCAGCATCAGCTCCAAGGTGCGGAGAAGCTAGCTCAGCAAACCTTGAAACAGAATCTCTTGATTGGGCTGAAAGATCAAGAGGCTAGTAGCTGCTTGGTCCCACAGTGAAAGTGCTGGACGTTTTATTGCGATCTGAGAAAGCTGCTCTGGTGGGTTAGGGATGACTCTAAAAAGGGTTGCCTGCCTTGTTTAAAGCAACATGACCTTGGCGACCCTCCTTTTGGATGCGGCTGGTTTCCCAAGCTCTCTTGGCTAACTCTCAGAGACAGCACAAGCCGATAGATGTGCAGCACAAGAGCAAGTTCGGTTTGCTGCTCAATTTTAAGCTCCCTCTGACTCTATTGCGCTTCCGTCTCCTTCTCATCCAGAACGTGTCACTTGTAAATCTTGTAAGAGCGGCCAGCTGGCTATCCAAACACAGCATTAATGTGAATAAGTATATATCATTATATATATATACCTATACAGGGGCAAGTTTGAACCACTTTGATGCTTCTTCTGTATTGGATCGGCAAGCTGGTTCGTGTGTGAGGTCACGCGCAGTCTCCGGGCTTCTTTCGGAGAGAGCTGCCTGTTCCTTTCAGGGGGCGGCATGCTTGGAATGTACCACATTGGAATCTTGGCTAGCCATTTGCACGTGACCAGACTTGCCATGCAATGTTTTGAGACAACCTTTTCATCAAATATAGACCTCATTTCGTTTAAGGTGTTGTGTTGTGCTTCTGTGTAGATTATGTACAGTAGCCAGTAGCAAACAGTCCTTGTTCATCTCATATACTTGACATGCACCAGCCAAGTGAAGCGCACTGTTCGAAGTGCCCCCATCTTTAGATTTGTACGCTGTATGCGCATGTCCACGGTTGTGGGTGAATTTCAATTGGTGGTGTGGTTTTTGGTCATCGTGTCCACACGCCAGTCTCCAAGGTACAGTCCGCCGCTTGCTCCAGGAAGGTCTCCTGCCGAACCAGATTTGTGGAACCTCAGTTTCTTGGAAGCCGCTGGCAAGTTGCCAAACTTGTAGAAAAAGAGGGACACCCCCAAATTCGAGCAGAATCCGGAATCAAACTTGTATGGACCTATGGACGATTGGAAGCCGATTTGATACTAGTAACAAGAAGCTACTAGTAGCTCCTGGCATTACTAGTAGCAAGAAGCTACTAGTAACGCGGCACCTTACTTCTAGTAACAAGAAGCCGATTTGACGCTTGGGGTGGGGACATGCAAGAGCTGAGCCGAGGGGGGCTGAGGAGGGCCGAGGGGGGCCGAGGGCTCACGCTTTTAGGTCTAGGTGCCTTACTAAGTAGATCTAAGTAGTAACAAGCTACTAGTAGTAAGGCACCTTGCTACTAGATGCTACTAGTAGCTTCTTCTTACTGGTAGTACAGTAATGCCCTTGTTACTAGTAAGATTCAGAACACAGTCCCATTTTCAATTTGCGACGGAAGCAGACTTCGCACCAGCCGGCCCAGGTGGGGTCGATCGTTGGAGCCTTTGTAGCCACGCGCACTGATGACGAACTGCACCTTGAGTTGGACAGCCTGGAGGACAGCGTCACAAGATACAGTACTATATGTTATATGTTTAATATGTTTTAAGTATTGTTTGATATTGCTGACATATTTATATTGTTTATGACTTTTTACATTCACTCCAGACATGTTTGATGGTCAATTGAACGTGCTGCAAAAGTGTAGTTTCATCCTCTTCTTTCCGCTTCGCCTGCAGGAGTGGTACAGGCAGATGGGTCCTGTGCAAGGTCCTTTCCCTGTCCAATACTGGGAAGTCGTTGTGCGGGTGCTTTGGCGAGGCTGGACTATCTCGCTGCGTCGACGTTTTCTGAAGTTGCTGAAACGCAACCTCAGTGGCAATGGTTCTAAAACACAAAAAACAGTTGTCATGTCCACAATACTTAGTAACAAGAAGCTGCTAGTAACAAGTGCATCGCTACTAGTAAGAAAGAAGCTACTAGTATACTGTCTCATGTTTATCCCACCTCTCCAGGTTACATCTACGACTACATGAACCAGCATCTTGGCAAGAATTCTCCATGTTTGGATCCCTTGGCCCTTGGCCTTGTTCCACATGGTTGGCTTTAGTTCGATGGAACTTGATGTTCCGCACGTCCGATTCTTGTTTTTGCTGCCTCTTATCCTCTGACAGTTTGGCTTCGGAAACTTGTTTCAGCAGTTGCTCCTTGCTTCATAGTTCTACTATATGCATGCATACCCCTTGTCTGTTATGCTAGCCAACATGACTTTGGGTTGTCTCCTGATTCATCAGGGTGTTTTTCATTGTTTTTCTAGGGTGAGGTGGTCGTACCAATGGCCGATTAGGACAGTCTCATGTCTCATTTGTTTGGTTCGGAACGTTGTCGTGAATTTTTGTGCGACAAGTCTCTCCACTGTTGTCTAATTCTAATAGCTTTTTGTTACTACTAGTAAGGCACTTGTTACTACTAGCGTGGCACTTGTTACTAGTAGCTACTTTTTGCTGAGGTATCGCAACCAGGCGACCTTTGTCTCTGCTGGCCTGACCTTTGCTGAAGCCTATGCACGAACTGGCAGGAGCTAGGATTTGGCAGTTGATACGCATGTCTCTCGTGACCCAGCTACTTTTCTGTATTCATCAAGAACAAATATAACGTTTGGGAATAGCGTCTGTTGTATAGAAGTATTAAATGCTGGTGCTTCGGAGTAAAGGGCACAGCAGTGATGCTAGCATCTCTCGGTTTGTGTTGTCTGACACTCCTTCGACGTATCAAATGCCATGCATAGTGCCATGCATTGCCCCTCTTCAGAGGACCTTCACAATCACCTGTGCGCCTGTGACGGGCGGCCCCGTTGTGCTGCTGAACAGGCATATGCATATGCAGCATTTATATTGGCCATGCATAATATGACCACTACAATATGACCACTACATGAACGACCGTTTTACATCATTTCAATTGGACAGGACAAGAGGTTTGAAGAACTTAAGAAAGCTCGAATGAGAGCCCTCAGTTTTAGCCATAGTGAATCGAGTTCTCACATGTTGGATGATTTTGGACCATCTGCCGAAAGGCACACTTCGCCTAATGTGCTGATTGCTTCTGCGCTTTGGCTGAATTCTATTGAATTCTCCGTTTTTGAGCTGTTGCAGATGCGTGTCAGAATCAAGCAAGTGTCAGAATCTTGGTCTTATAGATGACTGCCACTTGTTCCGAAGATGCGCTGAGGCCATTTGTGCATCATCGTCCATGCCAATGCTAGTTGAGGCACGGCCTTGCAGTCGAACTGCCGTCCAAGAACAACGGATTGCATTGAATGTTGGATAGATCAAGTTACATCAAGGCAGTTTGCTGACTTAAATTGCTGGGATATGGCATGCATGGCTCACAAAGACGTGTCATTCCTTTTGGTGTTCTAGCAAAGTGCCAGTGCAAGCCTGTGAGAGCTCAATACAGCGCTCGGAATGGAAGCCAAGACGTCAAGAAGAAGCTGACCAAACCAGGGGACCTCAGCAGGTCAACATTCTTTAGCCAGCTCAGAGGTTTAAATTTTTGCTATCGGTTTTGCATGGCTTTGTGGAAACCTTCAGAGGTTCTGCTCTGCTCAGCTCCCTCGCCCCACCATTCTCAGGGTATGACGAACAGCTAGAGCCGGTATACTAAACATTACTGAACCAAAGTGGCTTTGCTAATTACTGTGTAATATCACGAAAGCCATCCGATAGGCTAGGCTGAAGTTGGGTTGGGCGAACGAAGTGAGTAAAAGGGGTGTGGGGGGGTGGTCGCACACGGGCCAATTTCGGAGGGCTAACCCAGAGCCTGGTGGGGTAGAGCGAAAAATGCAGGTCTGCTTGGGATTGAAAATGGATTGTTTTTTTGTGTTGTGATGCAAGTGATGCAATTGACGACGAATAGTGCATCATTAGCATCATGAGGGGCGGGAGTTCATGATAGGACAGAGCGGACAACGACACGCGAAAAGTGGTTGGAACTGCTTGAGGAGAGGGAGGTGTGCGTCTCTGGTGGCCAATGACTAGTGTTCGACAAGGGGTGAAGAGGAGGTGTGTGTCTCTTAAGGCGAGGGCATGCTGTGGGGAAGGTGTAAGACAGGCATAGCGGAGGAGGACGTGGTAGGAAAAGAGGACTTGCAAGAATTCTTGGAGTTGCTTGGGGGGGCCCTTTTTAAAGGCGAAGACGCCTGTCAACCATACGCCATGGGGCACCCCATGTCGGGTGCGAGTTCATGCAATGACGCGGTCCGTCCAGGGCAGGAGAGAGAACAGATTGCAGCGGGCAAGCTTTGAATTGTTTGGGTGCCCTTTTTTAACGGTGAAGAGTCCTAGGGCCTATTTGCCGGACTCAGAAGGGCACCCCATATGGGGTTCTGTCGTTCGCACCGCGGAGCAGGCCAACGCCCCTCCGTTACTTGGGGGTGCCCTTTTTATTTTCACAATGGCCCTTGGGCAACAACAGCAGGGGCACCCCATTCCCCCACTTTCACTACGACTCTCCACCTCTGCCTTTTATTTTCCCATTCTTGACGCTGTTCCAGTGCGCTCTCGACTTCACCCCCCATTGCCATGTTGATGTCTTCTTACAGAGGCTGGCTTTCGTCGCTCCCTTTTCAAATGTATATACTGACTGTATATGTTTTTTTCGACCACTTGTCAGTGATTTAGCTAGCCTGCACACCCTGCTAGTTTTATGGTTCCTCGTTCAGTCTTTTTTGGTTCGTTAAGTCCCATCCGACACACTAGGCATCATCATCAACGCTCACACCTGAGAGGTGTCGCCATAACTCAGCAAAACTTGCGTTTTTTTGGTGGGGTTGCAAGCAAAGCAGTTTGGTTCAGAGAAGTATGCCATACAAGATCATACAACTGAAATGGCATTGATCAGTTTGGGTGCTAGGACCAACTGGAAAGTGGGTTTGTCGATCGAACACCATACCACAAGAAGAAATCAGGTTCTCTTCAAATTTTCCCCGGTGTTGCACGTTCATTTTCTTCACAATATGTTTTGGCGCTCATGCTTTGGGCACACAAAAGAAACACAATTCTATGAATATGAGCAGAGGTTCACGAAATGCATCATCTCCAATATCATCCAATTTCTACCCTGGTGGCAGGCCGTGCGCCTTCTGGAGAAGATGCCAGACGGCTCTGTTCAGCTGGTTAGCAATTGTGATGGCAACCCCATGGGTGAATTGATGCGGGATGGGACGATGCTGGCCGACTCTCCTTGTGATCAGCTGGAGCACATGTTGAATGTGCAACTCGACCAAAATTAGTTGAAACCCATTTAAGGCATTCAAGCGTTTTACCTGTCGATTCACACAAAGCAGATTGAAGCAAAGATAAGGCGCTGGTCTATCATTTCACAGGCGGCTGATCCGAGATATTTTTTTACGCTGCATGCAGTCCATGTTTCGGCGGTGTAGGCAGCACCATGGTGTCTTTTGTATTTGCCAGGTAAATCCGCATGTGGTTCCGTTTTCGTTGCCCTTTGTTCTCGCAAAGCGCATTGGCCAATTTTCCAGCGCAGCCTGGCAAGTGAAATGAACTCGCAGTTTTCACATTTCAATCTGTGATATGTCAGATTCACATGCTCCTTGTAACAGAACAACACAGGCATTGGAGGTTGCAAGGAGGAATGTGGCTAATATAGTTTGCTATATTAAGGTCTACGCGAGGATTTTGACAAGGGCTGAGGGGCAGCTGCGGAGGTGAAGTGCAAACAAGAAGATTTGTGAAGAAAGAATGTATCTACAAAAAGACGTTCGTACAAAGTTCAACACTGCTGGAAGACGATCTATCATGAAGCAAGTAGCCTTAGAGCAGGCCAGGGCTTAAGCCAATCAAGAGAATAGCGTTCATTGTATTTGAGTGCTTCTTTCTTGCAGGTTCATTTGGAGCACGCTGCATGCGTTCCAAGCATGGACCAGTTTTCCAAAACAAGGTGCCGAATCAGAAGTGAACAGATTAAGACGTGCAGACTTGACAAGAACTGCCATGTCATTGAGTGCAAATTCCAGTTCCGCGAGTTCCATGACAAGATGGAAACACATGATTGGGTATGAATCAGCATGAGAATCACAGTGAATCGCAGAGTTGAAGTTGCCGTGTTTTGTTTAGCAAGGTTCCTGGATTTCTCAACTCTTGTTCCAAGACTACTTTGGGAATGTGCGGCCCTTATTTGCTTCGCTTGGACATATGCACGTAGGCACGTTCACTCACTCTTCCTTTGCAGCATGCGACCAGGTTTCTCCGTTTGACCCTATGAAATTTGGAGCTGAGGTGAACATAATTCATTACAATATGCGCTTTAGAGACGACCTGCGCTTGATCAAAAACGAGACGAGCCTCGAAGACTTCAGAAAAAAGGCAGCTATGTTTCCTGGGCTTTGTATGGTCACACATGTCACACATCCCTAAATTATCCTAAAGCAGATGAAAGGGCAGTATGAAAGGCTTGAATCTTCTCCTTCGAGGCCGTGGCAGGTGCTGCATGCACTGATGAACAGCTGCCACGACAGCGCCTTCGCCATAAGCTGGAGGCAGCTTGGCCGCTGTGTAAGCATGTGTAAAAATGTGTAAAACTCGTTGGAGAGTACTGCATGCAGTCACTGCACTGCAGTTTTACCTTGTCCTTTACACAGTTTGAAGGGTTTGCAAGTTATGTTGCGCGAACAAACTTCTGAAAAGAAGCAGATCATTCCTTGATACTACTTCCAACTTGCATTCTGTAGGCCACCTTGGGCTCTCTCGAAGAAGCTACCTCCAACGTACGGAAGACAAGACCTCGCCGGGTTGCTGGGCAACTCGCCGAACAGTCAGGTTTTGTCGGATGTAAGCGATTCACTTGCGAAACTCCTTCCACCTTTGTAGACCTTTTGCATGTCTTTTTGGAGCATCATTCCTGTCACGTGTGCTGAGGCGCCGTGGACGCGCTTGAGAGGATCAACGCACCACAGTCTGAGAATCGGAGCCATGTGATTCTTGGGATAGACCTTTGTGGCGCCGTAAATTGCACATTTCTTGAAATGCGCCTCTTCCAGAGGCATTCCCCTTCCCTTTCTTTTTATGGATCCGTGGCTGAAAAGGGAGGTTGTTCTGATAATCGACCAGGGCCTCAAGACGAGTCCCTCATGAATTTTGACCGCCAAACAGCGCACATTTCAGACAAATGGATATCATGGTGCCCAATTCTTCCATCCCTAGAAGTGGAGAAGTCAGACAGTGTTGTGGTGCTACTAGTTTGAGTTCTGAAGATTTCTGGAGTAGGTTTGAAGACACGCAGTTTTCATCCCAGTGTAGACAAATTGTGTGATTCTTATGCATGTGTGTAGGAGATGTATTTTGATGGCATTGCATGGAAGGCGCTGTGGCCGAAAGCTAGGTGCACGTAGGAATTGTTCGAATTTTCCACCAACTTTTCAGGACCTTTGTCTTGCATTTGGGTCCGTGGACAGGTCTTGGACCTGCGCCAAGCAGCAAGCGTTGAATTGTTTAGATCGAAGACTCGTCCTGCACAGACCCATGATGGGCTACAACTAGTTCTCCAGCATTCATTGTTAGTGTCAATGATCCTTGCTTACATCTGTTCCAGCTTCCAAAATGAATGCATGTTTCTCAAACCGGAGGAGTCTACACAATGCCACGCATGGCATTCCAAGCCTTGGTGCAAGACACCAAGCTAGGGCTCAGCATTCTCCCATAGCATTTCACATGGAAATGATTCAATGGTTCAATTATCCTTGCATTGCATTCATGAATCAATTCCATGAATGGTCCTTTGCCTTGGATATTACTTATTGTAAAAACCAATGAATACAAGCATACAAATCATTATATATTAGTAATATTGAATACGATAAATATATGACGATTACATTTTGATGGACAACTAATTGATTGGAAATGCGCATCCTAAACAGGAAACATAATATATCGATTATAACGATTGATATTGGGGATTTACGAGGATTTAATGGCGTTGCATGAATATGTATAAATATGAAGATATATAAATTATGTAAAATTATATTATCTTTAAATATATATATATATTAAATTTTTTAAAATAGATATATATATATATATGATATTTTATAAAATAATTTTTTTGATATTATAGATATATGTATGATGAGGTTTACGAATATATTTATGTAATTGCCGATTTAAAGGTTATAAATAGGATGATTGATGATGATGATTTGGAATATATTGAAATCTATTTGATGAAAAATTTTCTTGAATTGGTAAAAAAAATTGCGAAAGATATAGTTAAAGATTTTTGTTGTTATTATTATTGTTATAAATATTTTTTAAATATATGTTTGTTGTTTCCGGTAGAATGGATGGATGGAAATGTCTTTATATATTAAAATTTAATGAATTTTAATTTTAATATATTTATATTTGATAATGGTAATATATAAAGGATTAATCGAATTTTTATTTATATGGAAACAAAATTTTGGAAATGGGTTGTTGAAAAATTAAAATCTTAGTTTGAGATTTTTATATATTCCGAAATTATATATTATTGGTATAAGGATTGGGTTAAATTATATTTATTTTTATTTGATATAATTATCCTATAAATATTATAAAGGATTTTGAATAATTGAATTATTAAATTTATTATTGGCATTATATTGGTTATATTGCAAGATTTATCGCAATTTTATACTATTATGATATATTCCGAATTATATAAATTAAATATATTTATAGGATTATGGGTCGCGAAAGATCCGCGAAATATATATTTTGTTTTTTTTTTTTTCTACGAAGAATGATTATTGTATGATGAAAGAATATTGATTTATTAGTATATATAGCATATATCGACGATATTGAATATGACTTGAGAAATATATTTATATGATATTTTTAGTAATTAAGTAATATTAATAATTCTTGAATTTTATGATTTTTTGTTGTTTTTGCTTTTGGTGATTTGTGTTTTTTATGTTTTTTGTATTTTTGTTTTCGTTGTTTTTTGTTATTATATTGATGTTTATATTATTGTAGTTTATTAATTGTTGAATATTTATTGATTTTATATATCCGTAATTATTGAAATATATTTTTAAAATGGGGGGATATGGTCTATTTTTCTTATGGGAGGTATTATTTTATTTTACAAAAATTAATCGATAGGTTGATTAAATTGGAATTGTCGAGGTACGAAAAATAAAATTAATATAATAAATAATATTTTAGGGAATATATTGAATTTGATTTGCGAAACAAATGCATATTCTTTAATATAGCATAATTGATCATTTTAAATAATTCCGCTCCTTGGAATTGATTTTTGATATAGATCTTCTTTCCCCCCTGATCGTTGCGTCCCGAAATCGATCATTTTGATATTTCGATAATTATTTGATATTGCATAATCGAAATTTTAATATTATGGTTGTTAGCCCAATACGAGCGGATTCGCTCCGCCGGCCGCGAATGAATAAATATTTTTTGTAATTGATTATTACTATATAGATATAAAAGAAACATTTTTATGTGATTTATTTATATTTTTTTGATTGCATCAATATAATATTGCATATTTTCTATGCTTCTATCCCGTTGTCCTATTTTTCGTGCATCGTTCTTCTCAAAATAAGAAATATGAGGGAACGGTTTCATAGAAACCAATTTGAGAGGTCGAATTTAGAATATGATAGAATAGATATGTTTGATGGCGAATAGCATATTATGGGAAGGCACGTTAGTGATTGGGTTTTGGTGCGGATCGAAGTGCAGGCTATGCATTGTAAGAATGAATAGGAATGGATACAGGTTTATAAATCTGTTAATAAAATATAGAGTCAAGCCGCAGACAAGCAATGGCTTCGGGGTTGCCTCTTTTCTCTTCCAAATGACTCTTCTTGCAAAAGAAAAGGGCACCCCCCACCTCGCGGAGGCTAATTTTCGTCCCTTCCCTTCTCAGATATATTCATTGCGGGGGACGCATTGCGTCCTCCCCCGCGTCTCCGCTCCGTATAGTTACTAGGTATTTTTGATATCGTTTCTTTTTCTTCATTTTGAAAATGAAATTTATTTCTATCTAGGATAATAAAAAGATATTAATCCTAGGAATATTAATCAAAAATATCGATTTATGATTCTATTTTTCCTATTTATAATATTTCTATATTGAATTCGTTAATATGATGCTATATTGAATTCATTAATATAAGGGGGAAAATATTGCAGTTTATATTCATTGTGGGGGAGGCACTTTGCCCTCCCCTGTACCCCCTTCTGCTCTTCTGAACTTTAGCGTCTTCTCCCATTCTTTATGAATATTAGGAGCCCTCATTTTGGGAATGGGGCTTAATTCTGTCTAGGGCAAATCTTGTCTATACCAAAAAACATTTGACCTAGGAATACTAGCGGATCCTCACGCTCTTTCAAACACTTCTGGAGGTCTGGGCTCATGCCCTCAAAGCCTGTTGGCTCTTTGTCCACCTGATCCTCCCAGGGTAGGTCTCTATCTGGACACAAAGGGTGGGGATCTGTCGGTACTTGGCCGTTCCAGTCTTCGGGAGGATGGGCCACCCTGGTAGTATTGGATCTCCTGCCGAGCTGCAATTCCAAGGCCTCCGGACAGGCCAGCTAGGATCACCAGCTCAAGCAGCCACAAGGATGTAATGGATGGGCTCGATGGACGTGATCTCCTGGAAGACAGGGTCGTGGTGCTCGTAGTGCCGCGTGGGTAGGGAGCCCCGGCGCTTTACGGCCAGGCTCCGCTGGTACAATCTCGTTTTGTGCGTGTCATGTGCATAGGACTGAATTCTCATGAATATCTATCAAATATTATAAATGAATTTTGTAATAAATATATTAGCTATAATAATTTCAATTATATATATATATATTACTACTAATTCTCTCGATTGATGGGATATTTCTGGATCATCGGGGCCTAAATTGGGATGACAATTTTAGACAAAATATTCGGTTATCAAAATTCCAAGGTCAATTAATATAAAGATTTTTAGGTCAATTTCTATAATATATTGTTCAAGATATTCGATAATATTCATCCAATTATATAAATATCAATATAAATAATAAGATCAAATCGATTCGATCAAATCCATAATATGATTCCAAAATGAATCAATACAATCTAAATGCATCTTAATGATAACATAATACCTATGGATCAAGCCTCCAGATAAAAATGTCGCCAATGAGTAAAGCAATCAACCTTATCCCGAAAGAATTGCAAAAAAGCTTGTGATATATACGAAAGAATCGAATTGTAACAAAATACATATTAAGAATATTGTAATAAAAATAAAATAAATATAAAATTCTTGGATATATCAATAATTCTTCATATCCCAAAATTATATATAAACCATTAATAATTCGCAATTTCAATCGGTATATACGAATAATTTTTATCCACAAATTCACCAAATTTAATCTTTAATCAATATAACATAACATCATTCGAATTAACAAAATCATAAAATACATAACGAAATTTAGTTTTTAATTCTTCAATATTATATTCTATTACCCATATCATAATACAATCATTATATTAGACACAATTCCCCAAAATTGTAATATAAATTTCACAATACAATATAATCAATATATATATATATATTCATCATTATATAGATTCAAGATTTTTTTCACTTCCAACCTGAGGTAATCCAGGCCCGCGTTGGGCAGCACAGCTAAGCTGCAGGTGCTTCTAGAGCATCATTTGCCACGGTCACAATGCAAATCAGGATTTCGAATGCGGTCGAAAGGCATCAAAACGGAAGGCGCGAAAAGGCCTAGTTGGAAAAGGCCGTAGCCAGCAGGTCGGACAGATCCACCGATTCCTCAACCGGGCGTCTCCACCAGGTGTTGAGAGCTTCTTGTGGCACAAGCCAATACATATATGCTGCACGGCGGATTGGATCCACGACAGGGCATCTCACAGTGCCGCGACCATCATCGGTCATCCATGTGCTGTCCGAATTGATGAAAAGGCATTGGTAATGGTCACTCCAGGGTTCGGCTCCGAAGTGACACAAAACAGCCACGACTCTGTATTGGACCCAGCTGACGTCCTGGCCAATGCTGTTGTTGAAGATCGATATGTGGACCTCGGCACGTGAGAAGTCCACAGGTGCATTATGCTTCTTTGCAACGTCGGGAAAGCGTTCGAGCTGCAACACAATGCATGGGCGATTATGAACACAAACATTTGTGTAAGGAGCTTGTC